AGACTGAACGTAGACGTTAGTAGGGAAGAGGTTGGGGAACAGCTAAATGGTTACTGGCTCTTACGTAAATTTGAGTCTCAGCTATCAAAGAAGGTTTAGAAAAGCAGGCAAAAATGGGGAAAGAAGTTTTAAACAATGCCTTCGTGTTGTGATCTAAGGACAGTTTTAGATTTTTTTTTTTTTTAATCGATTGGGAAGTAGCAGTAATGCAAGTAATCTTCACCGTTACACTTAGCAACACGTCCCTTGAAAGACGTCTGTTTTCTCTAAATATTTTGTGCCCCACTCAAATCTGGGACAGATAAATAACTGTGATCAACTAGAAAGTAGAACCAGTGGTGGGGATCTTCCTCACAGAGCCAGGGAAGGGAGTAGGCAGGAGCCATCAAGTCTGCAAACTGAAAAAGAATAGTAGAGGCAAAGTGAGCTATTTATCAAGAAAATGGTAGTGGAGGGAAGATGCACTGCACATTTCCTTGCACATTTCAAATCCCTTGGCAAAAGAGGCGGCAGGGGCCATGAAGTATAGGAGACATGGTTTCCAATAATTGCTGTTATGGAGCACTTATTATGTGCCAGGCACTGTGCTACATACTTTAAATATGTATTCTCATTTTTTGCTTAGAATCATCAAATGAGACAAATCTTCCTATTTGACAGATGAAATGGTCAGAGAGATTAAGTGACTGCCCATGTGGTGGGCCAAGGTAATATTACAAAGCAGTCCTTGAGGCTCTAAAGCCCTTGGTCTTCACCACTTGGTGATACTCATTTTATTATTAACCATAGTTAATAAAGTTCAGTGATTGAGAATAATAAGTTAGCATTGGCTCATTTGCAAAACATTGAAATAAATAGACTTAAAAAAAAAACCCCAAACCCTTCATGTCAGGTTTCGAGGCCTCATTTCCAAGGAAGATTATACCCCTTTCATCAAGTATAAAATAACCTCCAATGGAGCCCAACTTTCCCACCATTACCAATTACAATTAAATCTCCTTATGCCACCTTCAGTTCTCAGATTTTTTTATTCATGTCCTATTTTTTCCTGCTACCCCATTTTTATTCTTTCTTTCTTTCTTTGAGAGAGAGAGTGAGAGAGAGAGAGCCCAAGAGGGGGTAGGGTCAGAGGGAGAAGCAGACCCCCCGCTGAGTGGGGAGCCCGATGTGGGACTCGATCCCGGGACTCCAGGATCATGACCTGAGCCGAAGGCAGTCGCTTAACCAACTGAGCCACCCAGGCGCCCCTTTATTCTTTTGTTCAACTACTACCTTGAACCCCATCCTAATTTTTACCTCATGGGTCAGACCCCATCTCTAACCCTGCTCCATGGGTTTTAGAAGAAGATACTACCTGGGCTCCCTTCTGGTCTCCATCCACTGAGGGTTCCAGGACCTGGAACCAGTCATCCAGGAGGTCATCCAAACGAGTGGAACCCATTGGCTCTAAGAGACGCTCCATTCCCTGCCTAAGAAGGCGGCAGAGTCAGAGGAACATGCATCTCATTCAGACTCTCCCTTTTCAGCCAGTAAAAGCTAAATCTCTACAAAGTGAGGAGAGGTGGGGCTCAGTCCACCATTCAAACAAGGAACCAAAAATAATGCACACACCCCTCAGAACCCTGCCCTGCAGGGGCTGGCTCGGGGGGGTCCCAGGAATGTAGGGCTCTTCTCCACTGCCTGATCTGGGCATCCCAGGAGCGACGGCTGTACCTCCTCTTCTTGTTTGGTGTTTGAGGGTGAAGTCCTGGCTGTCGCTTTGCCCTGGCAATGACAAATATGTGTAAGACTCAGGTCAAGATAAATGGGCATAGCTCATTTTTTATCACAGTGAATTCGGAGGCTCAGGGATTTCCTGAGAGTCAGGTAGGACCAATGCCCTCAATTCAATAGGAAAAAATAAATCTTCAGATGGGATTAGCACTAAACTTCCTAATATTCTTCTGGGAAAGGTAATTTAGATATTCCAACTCTCTTAGAAGTCAAGATAGATATAAAGACTGTATCTGACATCCCTTTAAGATACATACTACCTTTTTATACATTTAGGTTGCATGTATGCATGGAAACATGTAATTAGGCAAGTATGTTCTAATTAGCGAAGTCAGCTGGAGGTATGAAGTAAAAATGGTTAGAAAGAAAAAACTTCATAGCAAACTGAATAGAACTTTAAAAACTCTCATGGGCCAAGTATTTGTTCCATTTGAAAAAAAAATCTTGTAAATTTATTTTTGGGGCTACATTGCAGAATTAGTTGTAGTAATGATGCAAATTTGTGAGAGCACTCAGATTCTAGTATCTTTCCATCACCCTACATTGAACCAAAGCCTTGGATGACACTGTTGTTGTGACCACCCACAACTGCACTCACTTGGGGACCTGCTGCAGAAAACACTGGTAACCAGGTGTGCGCTTGCCATAATCTATCTGTTTTTGCCGCCGCTGTAGAACAATTTCATCTGTCTCTACCTCCCACCTGCAGGGGAAGTATACGGTGGCCCCATGAAGTGTGATTATGGTTATCAAAGCAGAAACCAAGTCATCCCACACACATTCCCTTAACCCCCAGTCTGGTTTTCAAACTCACCTGGCATGCCAGGGCTCTGTGCTGACTCCCACACTCACCATCTCAATCCCAGAGTACAAAGATTCTTCACACACTTCCTTTCTGGGGAAGCAGATTCTACAGATGAAAGGGGTTTTAGGGTAAAACCTAGCTGACTACACTGTACCACCACCAAGATGTGGACACCAGATAAAGGTTGTATTTCTGACTTAACTGTTTCTCAAAGATAAAGGTTGCATTTCTGATTTGTTTCTCAGAGTGGTCTGCAAGACATCAGCATGAGTAGCCCTGGGAGCCTTGATAATTCCTAGGTCCCACTCTCGATTTATTGAATCATCATTTTGGGGGCCTGCATTTTAAAGAGCTTCCAGGTTATTTTGAAAAATTTTTTTATTATTATGGAAAAATACAGAAAAGAACACAGCATAATGTTTTGCTACTCAAAGTATGGTCCTAGGACCAGCCACATCAGCATCAGTTGCAAGCTTGTTAGAAGTGCAGAATCTTGGGCCCCAACCCAGACCTACTGAATCAGAACCTGCATTTTAACAAGATCTCCAGATGTTTAGAATGCATGTTAAACTTTGAGAGTAGTGATATCATAGATCCCCAGTTACCCATCAGCTAATACTCATGGCAAATCTTGTTTCATCTATGCCCACTACTACCCCCACACGATTATTAAAATCTTCAACATTAAAATAAAAGAATAAATTCTTGGGGCTCCTCACTGGCTAAGTCAGAAGACCATGGGACTCTTGATCTTGGGATCCTGAGTTTGAACCCCACGTTGGGTGTAAAGATTACAAAAATAAATAAACTTTAGGGGGGAAAAGGGATAACTTTTTAATATCACTTCATCAGTGTCCAAATTTCCATAAACGACCGAAGATTATAATCCTTTGGACTGTGATAAGAATTATGCCAAGAGATGATTCAATTCCCCCACTTTCCCTCAAAAGAAATTTCCTTTATCCTACATAACCTAGCGTCTAAGAGATGCTGCGCTGTAAAAGGAACACCGAACAAGGAACGCTCTTGGAAGGGGCCAGAGCTGCTCAGCATTAAGTACACACACCTGTCTCGTCTCAACATCTGCCATACCAGTGGAGAAGGCTCCATTTCCAACCGAAGTCAAGTAAAACGAAGAGGAAAAACCCACGTTACGACACAAGAAAGAAGCAAGGAAAGAGAAACGTTTAAAACACCCTGCATCCAAACAAATCTCCCCAGATATTATCCTAAGGAGTGATAATCGCTCACGAAGTGCAGTTTAAATCTCCCGGGGTTGGAGGGGCTAAGGGAATGAAGAGCTCGGGAAGGCTGTGGCGATTGGTCAGCGGAAGAGCCAATGGTGTGCCAGGCACCCAGGAGGGCGGGGCTTACCTCTGGGCTCGCTGAACGCTGATGGGCCAATGGGCATCCTGCTCTGTCTGAGGGGCGGGGCAAATTGTGTTCCTGCCAAAGCAAGCTCACGTCTGGTGATGTTGAGCCAAACGATTGGCTATGGGGTGGTAGGGGGGGGGGGGTCTGGGCGGGCGCGCGCAGATTGGCTGGCGCAGCTTTGAGGTGAATGGGATAGGTTTACTGGGAAGGCGGAAGGTTTGAATAGCCAGGACCTGTGACTGTTGATACTCTTGCACCGAGGCTATAACTTCGACCCTCTCCTGAGAGAAGCGCAAGCCTCGACCCGAAACTATCCTGTCTAGAAGCAGAATTGTAGTCTAGTTAATTGACTCCCGTCCTCAGATTTCTTTTAATTTTGATTAAGTCTTCGCTTGTGACTGATTTTCCACTTCCGTTTTTCCTGAGGTAAGCGCAGAGCCTTCTCCACCGGAATCTGAGACCCCAGCGTCCCCTCAGAGTCCGGTCGGGGTCTCACAAACAGAACTTCAGGGGACTTAAATAGTTACTGTCTTGAGTTAAGAGACCTGAATTACTTCCTTGCCATGAGTCGCGAGCTGTGTAGCCCCCGAACAAGTGAAAGCCTCTTTTCATTACTTTTTTAAAGTCTTGGGTTTGGGGCGCCTGGCTGGCTCAGTCGATGGAACGTGGGACTGTTGATTTGGGGGCCGTGAGTTCGAGCCCCACGTTGAGTTGTAGACCTGACTTGGGGGGAAAAAAAGTCTTAACGTTTGCCTCTAGTTAAGTCCGGGCTCCGAGGAAAAGGCCAAGCCGTTCGGGGCACGTGCGATTTCACCTTCGGGCCGACCTGAGATTCATCGGTTGGGATTGGGATGCCCCTCCTCCAATATGAGCCCCTGGGCCACTGCTGGGAAGGGTGGAGGAGCTTATGAAAACTGGGCAGCCTGTGAGGTGCTTGTGTAGATGATGTTAACCTCTTAGCTAGGTTTTGTTTTATTTATTTATTAATTTATTTATTTATTCCCTTCCTTCCTTCCTTCCTTCCTTCCTTCCTTAGGTTTCGCAGGCCATGTCTGCAGAACTCATTTCCTCCACAGGAGAGGAGGGACGCCTCAGCTCAGGACCCAGTTTTAGATCCCGTCGGAGGAGGATATTAAACTTGCTTCTGGAGAGAGACACTTCCTTTACCACCTGTCCAGATCTCCCTAGAACTCCAGTGAACAAACTCTTTGGTGATTCTGCAAACCTAAGCGTTTTGTCTGGGTAAATTCACTTTTCACACCTTATTTCCTTTGCTTTTATGAATAGTCTTTGGGTTTGTTTTTTTAAGATTTTATTTATTTATTTGACAGAGCACAAGCAGGGGGATCAGCAGGGAGAGGGAGAAGCAGGGTCCCCGCTGAGTAGGGAGGCCGAGGCGGGGCTCATCCCAGGACTCTGGGATCATGACCTGAGCCAAAGGCAGACGCTTAACCAACTGAACCACATAGGCGCCCCGCCTTTTTTTTTTTTTTAAATTATCCCGACTCAAAGATCAGGAGTGAAGTTTTAAACCCTGCCCTTCATTAATCATATGACCCTTGAGTCTCAGGTTTCTTTTTTGTGACATAGAAATAATAATCTCTTCCTATCTTACTACGATCTGGTGGGAATCAAATGTTGTGATGTCTGGGAAAAGTCTTCAAAAACTATTGCGTTATATGAGTTGGTTGTTTTATTAGTATTAATATTAGTGTTACTGTTATTCTTTAAATTCTGGTCATGCCATGCTCTGATGCCTCAGCTAGCAAACAAAGTTGGAGAGTTATAGACCTCAGAAGTACTAGAGACTCCAAGGAGAAATCAAATCTGTGTGCTCACAGTGCAGGGGAGAAGATGTGGGGTCAAGACCGACTTCAGCCAATAATCTTTGATCCTCAATTTTAAAAAAATTACTTGTCTTACTATGTTGGTGAGGAGGAAATGACATGCAAATTATTGGAGTAGAGAAAAGTGGGAGATTTTTCTCAGCCTACTCTGAAATATTGCCAAAAAGCAGCTAGATTTATTTGGATACTGTCTAGATTGTGTGAATGACTGTTGAGGGGTGTTTCAGATGAAGAGGATAATGTGATCTTTGCCTTTTAAGGATATTACAACCTAATAGGAATCTTGATGTACTATTATGTCTCAATAGAGGAACCCCAAAATGTTGCCTTGATCTTTCGAATCTTAGCGGTGGTGGAGAGATGTCTGCCAATCAACTTACCACTTCTGCAGAGATTGATGAAATTGGTAAGGAGAAGGGAGGTAAAGGCCTCAAAGGAAAGAACAGCTTTTAAGGGAGAGGACAGGGTAGTTGGATAGATATGGAAGGTGGTAAAAGTAGGTAGAAATCCTTGAAGTTGGAATTCTGTGAGTACCTAGTGGGTTTTTGAGAATGAGAAGCCAAGAAGAGAAATGTAATATCATTAATAGGGGTTATTTTGCATTTGAAAAGTTTAGACAGGAAGGAATATTTTGTTGACTAACTGTTGGTAGGAATGAAAGCCGTTGTTAAAATGAGACGTTTTATGCCCTACTCTAATCTCAATAAAGGCAAAGAAACAAACATAAATATTTGCTAACTAATTCTTGTGTTTTTGTAGGGTCTGAGTCCAAAAGGAGTAACTAGTCAACCATTTTAGTATTCTACTTTCGGATTTCCTGAATGATAAACATTATTTTCTACTCATGAAAGAAAAATCTCTGTTGTTTAGGCTAGGGCAGTGTTTCCAAGCATTTTTTCTTTGTAAATTCTTAAGTTTTCATGAACTTGTACTTCGTACCATAAACTTAGTACCTGTCAAGAGCCTTTGTGTTCAAAACATCAGCTTTTGAAATTAAGAAATGAAGAAAACCAGAAGAAAAGACAGGATGCATGAATAAGAATAACTCTTCATATCTGATTACAGGTCATTTGGATTCTAAAGGACCTCAGGAAATATATTTAACTGGGATGTAAGTTCTTTTGCTAAACGAACCCCACGTTAAAGCCTTTTCAGCACTGGCACAGAGATTTTTATCCTATGCAGACTCTGTAGAATATTGAACCTTTTGCTTTGGGTTAAGTGAACTTGAAAGCCTAGATCCTTCCTTTGAATGGTTTTTTAAGTTTCCCAGATCTAAATAGTTCATTTTAACCATTACATACAATCCATATTATGTTTTAAGAATGAAAGAAAATGGCATATTACGTTTAGGCATCGGCTGTTACCTGCATGTGAGTAGGGCTATGTTAGAGCATCTAGATTCCATTGGCTTACTGTTTGCCCAGCTGTGACTCTGAAGAGTTTCTTAACTTCACAGGACCTCAGTTTCTTCATTTGTAATAAATAACAATGGAAATAATACTAATGACTTCTCATAACTGCTCTTGTAAGGATGAAATTTAACACGTGCCAAGCATTTTATAATGTTTAGTATGATTATTCATGAGGATTCTTTGTTGGAGATCTAAAATGTTCAACTGGGGAATCCTCAAGGAATGAAAAGTAATTTTTTTTTTTTTTTTTTTTTGTGAGCGAAGCAATAGAAGTTTATTAAGTGAAGATACAGAAAAAGCTCTCAAGAGTGAGAGGGGTCCCAACAGGGTTGCCCTGAAAAGTAATTTTAATTCAACTTCTTAACTTCTTTGGCTTATTGTAAGGTTTCCATTTGACTGTTTTAATCTTCTTAGAACTTTGTTCTTTGATATTTAGGTGAATTAGGTGACACTACGGTGCACTAGTGAAAGCATTCCATGACTTTAAATTTTTATTTGATTATTTTTTTAATATTTTATATATATTTTTTTAAGATTTTATTTATTTATTTGACAGAGAGTGGTAGTGAGAGCAGGAACACAAGCAGGGGGAGTGGGAGAGGGAGAAGCAGGCTTCCCACCGAGCAGGGAGCTGATGCGGGGCTCGATCCCAGGACTCTGGGATCATGACCTGAGCTGAAGGCAGACACTTAACGACAGCCACCCAGGCACCCCAAGATTTTAAGTAATCTCTACACCCAACGTGGGGCTTGAACTCAGAACCTGGAGATCAAGAGTCACATGCTCCAGTGACTGAACCAGCCAGGTGCCCCTCCGTGATTGTTTTTAATAATACATGTGAAAATTTCACTTTGGATTGCTTTAGTTTCTTTGACTTGCTTAAAATGTCCTAACCCATGTAGACTGGATAAAATCCTGGCAGGAAGGGTAGTAATTCATAAAAAATAAATATTAGCTTCTAATAGCCAAAGCTGGAAAATTAGTCAATTGTGTCTACATAAGATGTAGGACAAACTCATCATCTTTGATGTATGTCTATATATATGGTTATGCACAAGAAATGAGGGCCTTATCTCCAGGATGTCACTCAACATCTTCATATTTACCAGAGAGCACCCTACATATTGTTACTGAAAGAGACACATCAACTAGGTATAGGGCTCCTTGCATGGAAGAAAGGAAAAGTTGGGATGCCCCAAGCCACTGACAAATAACCAAACAGTATTTGGGGTTAACTGATTGGCAGTTTTTTTGGTCTGCAGGAATCATCAACAGCACCTTAGAAAATGCAGCCCAGTGAGTAGCATCTCTTTCTTGGGTTTGGGTTTGTTTCTCAGGTGGGAGACAGAGGCTTTCCAGCTCACCTGTGGCTCAATGATGCTGGATTTTCTCAGAAAATGTTCTCTTATAGGCACAGCTGCATTGTAGCACTCCAAATGCTTTGGACCATGGCAACAGGAAGAAAGATGCAGTATGTAGCTCATCCACAAATAAAGAAAATGTGAGTGGTAAACAGAAACCTAGATATATTAGCACTTTTCTTCCTGTGAGGGGAGCAACTCATCAGTATCATTATGAGACCTAGAACCCTTATGTCTCAGTGTGCAGACAAGCAAACTGCATCACTATAGGCAAAAATTCTTTTTTTTAAGATTTTATTTATTTATTTGAGAGAGAATGAACAAGGGGGGAAGGACAGAGGGGGAGGGAGAAGCAGACTCCCCACTGAGCAGGGAGCCGTATGACCTGAGCTAAAGGCAGAGGCTTAACCAACTGAGCCACGCAGGCGCCCCAGGCAAAAAATTCTTTATGGTTTTTTTTCTTTAAGGTTTGACCCTAGAACAGAAACCTAGCTCCAAGTCTTCCACTGCAGGTCGACATTATTACCCATGTTCAGTTGATTCGTTTAAGGACAAAAAATCTGTTACTGTAGTTTGGGAATTTAGAACTATTTTTTTTTAACAGAAAAAGGTAATGTACATAAGTTGTTAACATACTCTTTGCATGGCTTCATGTATGGGTTTACTTTATTTCTTATTTCTCCCTTAGTCCAGCTTCTTAGTCCGAATTCTGAGAAAGCCATGGGCCTTTTTCTCTGAGCCTCAGGCCCTCCATCAGTTTTTTGGTTTTGGGTTTTTTGTTTTTTTTTTTAAAGTATTTTAGAGGGAAGAGAAAGGGCAGGGGAGGGGCAGAGGGAAAGGGAGGGAATCCCCAAGCAGACTCCCTGCTGAGTGCAGAGCCTGAGGCAGGGCTTGCTCCCACGACCTTGAGATCCTGACCTGAGCCGAAACCAAGAGTCATATGCTTATGGACAGCCATCCAGGCGCCCCCCTCCATCAGTTCTAAGTTGAACTGGGCTCCTTAGAGCCACCTAATCACTAAGATAATTATCTAAATAATCCCTTCAACTAATTCTCTTTTCTAGCCATCTTTTTCTATTTCCTGCCTCCCTTCCTTTCCCCCAGGTCAGTATTTATAAAAGATAGCTCCTGTTCTTTTCTCACATTGACTAAGTTATACCCATGTTTTTGGCTGTTCTCATCAGCTCTTTCTTGATTTGATACTGTGGTTCTGATAACTTTTTAAAATCTCACCATCCCCTCCCCACTCAGGCTCCCCTCTTCCTCCCTTCCTTTGCTTGTGATTGTAAAATTAGTATCCTCCAAAGCAAATCTACATATCATACGTCAAATTCAAACCATAAGTTGTATCATCAGGATATAGGATCAACCTAGATTACACTTAATGTGTTTTGTGAGGGTTATTCATGGCTTCATCTGATGAAATGTGTTTGGCAGGGCTTGCTGACGCTTGTCTTCCTCCAGCCAATGTAGTTTTTCTTATGCAGGAGAACAACACTTTGAAGTCCTCGGAGTGGTGGGCACCCAGGAGCCTGAAGTTTCGAAAGAGACCAGGGGGGCCTTACATGTCTCCCCTTTCTCTACTGGTGAGTCACTAAACACCCTCATCAAGGGTCTGCTGAGGCGTTGCGGATTATAGGGTGGCAGATCTGCATTTATAACCCTTTGAATTTTTCTAAGCAGGCTTGGGTGAGAAAAGGGGTTGGAGAAGTAACTCCAGAAAAGGGAGGAGACATGTCCCCTGATCTTTTTATTTGTTTAAATTTAAGGAGGAAAAAAAATTCTTAGGCATTTAAAATTTTTCTGTTTTATTCTGTATTCTTTATGTGTCTCCCCTCAATTTTTAAAAGTACTATGTGCCCATTGTGAAATGGTTTTAAAATAAAGGAATATAAAAAAGGAGATAGCTACCTCATAGAGGGAAAACTGCTATTAACATTTTACCTCATTTCTTTACAATCTACTTCCCTATTTTTGGACACTTAGTGGCACCCAAATTTTGCTTTTACAAATAATGCTATTATGTAATTCTTGAGCATCAATCTTTACTTATATTTCAAAATACTTTCTTTAGGATTAGTACCAAGAATTATAATTACGAGGTTAAAGTGTATATTTTTAAGATTTTTGATACATATAGTGAGATTTCCTTTCCAAAAAAGTTGTAGGAATTTACATATTCATGATCAATCTATAGGTCTTTGGATAAATGTTACTATTTTTTTAACTGCTAATTAGATTGGTAAATGTTTTATTTTATGTTAAAAACAATTAGTAGTGGGGCGCCTGGGTGGCTCAGATGGTTAGGCGTCTGCCTTCGGCTCGGGTCATGATCCCAGGGCCCTGGGATCGAGTTCCGTGTCAGGCTCCCTGCTCCTTGGGAGCCTGCTTCTCCCTCTGCTTCTCTCTCTCTCTCTCCCCCTCTGTCGCTCATGAATAAATAAATAAAATCTTTAAAAAAAAAAAACAATTAGTAGTGATTTCATGTGAATATTAGCCATATACATTTTACCTAGTAAATGACTGTGTCTTTTGTCCATTTAGCTACAGGAGTCTTAAGTTACCCAGGCACTCACTTGCTTTTAATAGACGGTGGATTCAAGATAACTCCAGGGATTTAGGGTCTAATCTCAATCCCAGGGAAAAGTCATTTTTATCTCAATCCTAGGGAAAAGTCATTTTAACATAGCCCATCATAAGTAGATTAGGTTGACCATGTTTCAGATTTTTGATTTCTTGGAGAAAGGGAAGACTTGGAGCATGGTAAATTACTGAAGAGTTTCCTGTGTGTGTGTGTGTGTGTGTGTGTCTTTTAATGTGGTAAAGTATACATAACATAAAATTTGCCATTTTAACCATTTTTTTTTTTTAAAGATTTTATTCATTTATTTGAGAGAGAGAATGAGAGCCAGAGAGCACGAGAGGGAAGAGCATCAGAGGGAGAAGCAGACTCCCTGCTGAGCAGGGAGCCTGATGTGGGACTCAATCCCGGGACTCCAGGATCATGACCTGAGTCGAAGGCAGTCGCTTAACCAACTGAGCCACCCAGGCGCCCTTAACCATTTTTAAGTGTATAATCCAGAGGCATTAAATACATTCACAATGTTGTGCAACCATCACCACTGTTCATTTCTGGGTTTTTTTCATCATTTAGAACAGAAGCTCTCTACCCATTAAAAAAAATAACTCCCCCATTCCTCCCTCCCTCCAGCTCCTGGTAACCTTTAGTCTATTTTCTGTCTCTATGAATTTGACTTTTGGACACTTAGTGGTATAACATTCTGTTTATCCATTAATTTGCTGATGGACATTTGGATTGTTTCCACCTCTTCCCATTGCGAATAATGTTACCATGAATATTGGTATACAAATATCTGTTCGAACCTTGCTTTCAATTCTTTGGAGTATATACCCAGAAATGGAATTGGTGGATTATAAGATAATGCTATATTTAATTTGAGGGGGAACCACCATACTGTTACCCGTATCAGCTGCACCATTTTTATTTTTTTAAAGATTATTTATTTATTTGTCAGAAACAGAGAGAGAGCGAGCCCAAGTAGAGGTGGCGTCAGGCAGAGGGAGAAGCAAGCTCCCTGCTGAGCAAGGAGCCTGATGCGGCACTCGATCCCAGGACCCTGGGATCATGACCTGAGCCAAAGGCAGACGCTTAACCCACTGAGCCACCCAGGCGTCCCTCAGCTGCACCATTTTTTTTAAATTAATTAATTAATTAATTAATTTTTTTTTTTTTAAGATTTTACTTATTTGACAGAGAGACACAGCGAGAGAGGGTACACAAGCAGGGGGATTGGGAGAGGGAGAAGCAGGCTCCCCGCGGAGCAGGGAGCCCGATGCAGGGCTCGATCCCAGGACCCTGAGATCATGACCTGAGCTGAAGGCAGACATTTAAGGACTGAGCCACCCAGGCCCCCCTCAGCTGCACCATTTTTAAATCTTTGGTTTTTTTGGTGTTACACTGTATGAGTGTTTTTGTATTCTGGGTATTAATCCTTCATCAGGTATATGACTTGCCAATATTTTCTCCCATTTTGTACATTGTCTTTACTTTCTTGGTGGTATTTTTGATGCACAGGAGTTTTTAATTTTGATAAGTCCAATTTGTCCATTTTTTTCTTCTGTTGCCCATGCTTTTGTGTATTATTAATGAGATCATTGCCAAATCCAATATTATGAAGTTTTTCCACTGTTCTCTTCTAAGAGTTTTACAGGCTTAGCTTTTATGTTTAGGTCTTTGATTCATTTTGAATTAATTTTTGTATATGGAAGGTAAGGGGTCCTGAATAGTTTTTAATATTGTCCATATGATTGACAGGACAATGGAAACTTTTTGGAAAGTGAAATGAAATATCTGGGCAGCCCCATTACTACACTTCTAAAATTGGATAAAAATCCAGAACTAGAAGATCAAGCAGAGGAGATTTCCAATGAATTGATGGACTTTTCTCTGGACGATCAGGAAGAGCCCAAGGTAAGTTACTGTCTGATATCTTTGCATTTCCCATATTCCTTCATTCTTGAATAAACAGTATTGTGCATCTCCTGGGTTTTAGCCACTGTGCTAAGTGGTAAGTCTACAGAGATCAAGAAGACATGGTCTCTATACTCTAAGGGCTACCTGACTGATAGGGTATCTGGTAACCATGGGATTCTTACTACTGCTGGGTGAGAAGGTTCCAGTTAGTAGTTTGAGTACATCACTATCAATGTAATTCAGTATGTTATGCCCCCAGAGTAATAGTAATGGATGGAACATACCTAGCATGATTTTTCAGTTATTTTACAATATATCTTCCCTGTGTCCCTGGGAGGCATACCTGAAGCCTGTGGCTTATTAGCCATGTACTGATATGCCAAAGATAGATTCTGAGGTTTTTGGCATTTCCGAATCAACTTCATTTCTTTGAAACAAATATGTGTAGGAGTGTGGGTTTTTTTTTTTGTTTCTTTTTTTTTTAAAGATTTTTATTTATTTATTGAGAGAGAGAGTGATAGAGAGAGAGCATGAGAGGGGGAGAGTCAGAGGGAGAAGCAGACTCCCTGCTGAGCAGGGAGCCCAATGCGGGACTCGATCCTGGGACTCCAGGATCATGACCTGAGCCGAGGAGTGTGTTTTTTTAATTTATTGATTAAATAGGCAAATGTGATATAGTTGAGTCCTTGGATTCTAGTCTTCATTCCCTTATTTAGTGTTATGAGCATGAGAAGGACACTTAACCAGTATAAAGCTCATTTCTCATTTATAAAACAGCATAATAATGAGAAATACTTCCTCAGTAGGATTGTTGTGAATATGATTAAGTATTAAATGCAGTTTATAGTATTCTGCATACTTTATTGTTGTTAATAAAAACAAATGTAAGCTGTAACAACATTCGGTAAATATTTGTTGAGACTGATATGCGCCAGGTGCTATACCAGAACCGAGGACAGAGTTGTGATTAAGATGGTCCAGATTCCTAACTTTCATGGAGCTCGTATTTATATTTTTTCTAGTCTAGAAGATAGTGTAAGTAAGCAAACCAATACCCAAGATAATGACAGATTGTCAAAAGTGCTATGGATGACAGAGTGGTATGAAAAATGACCTAGAAGTTTAGTAGGGTGCTGCTTTTAACTTTAACTTGAGTAACCAGAGCAGTGCTGACATTACAATGAATTTGAAAAGGAGTAATTCAAAGGGAATAAGTTTTCTTTTGGATATTTGAGTTAGAGGCGTTAACAGGAAATTTAAGTGGAAATCCTGAATGAGGAGTGGAGCCATCAGGACTGGAAATGTACATTTTGGGACCATCTGCATAGAAAAAAAAATGAAGATGGAAACACTACATCAAAAACTAATGATGTAATGTATGGTGATTAACGTAACAATAAAAAAATTAAAGATAAATTAAGAAAAGAAAAGAAAATGAAGGCTCCAAGTTTAAAGGCAGAGAGTAAGAGCTTGTAGAGAAGGAGTGATAACCTGTGAGGAGACTGATAATGAAGTAGATAGACTTGGAATGACATCATTCAGGAATCAGAAAGGAGAGAGCTAGGACATGAACAGAGGGGTCAGTTTTATATATTTATTAATTTTATACATTTCTTTATTGTGATAAAATACAATATACATAAAATTTACCATTTTAACCATTTTTTAAAGTGTATGGTTCAGGGCGCCTGGGTGGCTCATTTGGTTAAGCGACTGCCTTCGGCTCAGGTCATGATCCTGGAGTCCCGGGATCGAGTCCCGCATCGGGCTCCCTGCTCAGTGGGGAGTCTGCTTCTCCCTCTGACCCTACCCCTTCTTGTGCACTCTCTCTCACTCTTTCTCTCTCAAATAAATAAATCCAAAAAAAAAAAATAAATAAATAAAGTGTATGGTTCAGTGGCATCAAATCAAGTTCATGTTATGATTGTGCTTATCCATCTCTAGAACTTTTTCATCACCCCAAACAAACTCTTTGAAGAGTTTTATAGTTTTAGCTCTTAAATTTGGGTTTTGAGTTAATTTTTCTGTGTGGTTTTAGGTAGGGTCCAGTTTCATTTTGCATGTGAATATTCATTTATCCCAGCACCATTTGTTCAAAAGACTGTCTTTTCTTCATTGACTGGCCTTGGCATCCTTATCAAAAATCATTTGACCACCTGGGTAGTTCAGTTGGTTAAGTGTTGGACTCTTGATCGCAGCTCAGGTCTTGATCTTAGGGTCATGAGCTCAAGCCCCATGTTGGACTCTCTGCAGGGTGTGGAGCCTACTTAAAAGAAAAAAAATCACTTGACCATGTACATGAGAATTTATTTCTGGGCTCTATTCCATGGGTCTGTATGTCTGTCTTTATATCAGTACTATAGTTTTGATTACCTTTGTAGTAAGTCATTTTATACATTTTTTTTTCACAAATCATACTTGAATATATTTTCCTTGAAAAAAAATTAAATCATAACAGCTAAGGCTAACCCTGTTTGATCACCATTCCTAGCCCCTGTTGAAGGGCGACTTTGAGATTATGTGGGATTACATGGAAAAGTCAAGAGCATGGGAGTCCATGGAACATATTGGTCTAGAAAGTAACAGATGGATCCAGACTTCTGTAACTTGGCTCTTTAACGGTATGGGTAAAGTCCTATGATTTCCCTATGCTTCACTTTCTTTCTTTCTTTTTATTTTTTTTTTAAGATTTTATTTATTTGTCAGAAAGAGAGAGAGAGAGAGAGAGCGCACAAGCAGGGGGAGTGGCAGGCAGAGGGAGAAGCAGGCTCCCTGCTGAGCAAGGAGCCCAGAGCCTTACACAATCCCAGGACCTTGGGATCATGACCTGAGCTGAAGGCAGATGCTTAACTGACTGAGCCACCCAGGCGTCCCACATGCTTCACTTTGTTAATCTACAAAAAAGAAAAGGTTTTGATAACTATTTCATAAGGTTGTTGTGACGATTAAATGAGTTAATTGTACATAAGCATTTAGAACAATACTTGCCAATTACTAATGCTTTATTATTATAATGTAGTGTAATATAAGTGCTTAATTACTGTAGTATAAGGACCAAAATGTGTGGCATTACAAAGACTGGTAGAGAAGGGATGCTTGATGGCCTTGATGTCCTTAGCAAAGTGGAAGTTGCAGTAATCTGATGACTCAGAGGAGAGTGTTAGGTGACGACAGTCTTGAAGAGTTTGGAGAATGTTATAATCAACTTTTGGAAACCACAGAGGAAATTATTAAAAGGCTAATAAAATGACATTTGTAAGGTTTTATGTGATAGACCTGCATGGCATAGTGTGCTGTTGTCTAGAAGCAAGATTAGAAACTTTGGAACTCCAGGGATGATTAAGTGAGGTTTGGAGGTTGCCATTGGCAGATGAAAAAGTCGTATGGGGTTGAGTTAGCATAGGGATGGTGAAAGTAGCAGAGAGTGGGACGCCTGGGTGGCTCAGTCGGTTAAGCGGCTGCCTTTGGCTCAGGTCGTGATCCCAGGGTCCTGGAATTGAGTCCAGCATTGGGCTCCTTGTTCAGCGGAAAGCCTGCTTCTCCCTCTCCCTCTGCTGCTCCCCCTGCTTGTGCTCTCTCTCTCTGACAAATGAATAAACAAAATCTTAAAAGAAAAAAAAAAGGCAGAAAAGTAGATGATGATGAATCAAAGCCTGGATAAGGAGCCAAATGTCTCACTGGGTAGACTCAGTAAAGTAAGAACAGCAATATGGTTGAAAGTTGCCGAGGAGGAAGGAGTATCTGGTTTAGAAACTTTTGAGAGCTGGGGGTAATTTTAGTTTGAGGATGTGCCAAGTTTGAATTCTTGGTGGTAGAGTAATAGAGGAGGGTTGCAGATTTTTTCTTTTTTTCTTTCTTTCTTTCTTTCTTTCTTTCTTTCTTTCTTTCTTTCTTTCTTCTTTCTTTCTTTCTTTTCTTTCTTCTTTCTTTCTTTTCTTTCTTTTCTTTCTTTTCTTTCCATTCCTCCCTCCCTCCCTCCCTCCCAGAGGCTAATGTGGAGTGCAGGAGAAGCTTAGTGCAAGTATTTGAGAACTTATGAAGTCCCTCTCTGAAGGGTTTTCAGTTTTCAGAACATGGTATGAGTGTGGCGAAAGAAGTAGTCTGGGTTTTAGTGTTTTGAGTAGTGTCTTGGGAGACAAGAGTGGAAAAGAAAAATGAGAGGCACGTAATAATAGGTTCCGTTTATTGACTACTTGTACTGGGCACCGTGTGCTGAGCTATTTATATCCATCATTGCATTTAATTTTTATGTCAATCCTGAAATAGGAATATGATGCCGCTTTATTTTCTTTCTTCTCTCCCCTTTTTTTCTATAGTATTATACCCTTTTAGGAGGAGAACATCAGACCATGGGATAAAGGCTCTTACTCAAGGTCACAAAGTTAGCCATTGGCAGAGTCAGGTTTTAAGCTGAGATCTGCCTGACTCCGAGCTGGTGTTTTTAGCAGTATCATGGTGTCCTTTTTTTTTTTTTTTTTTAAGATTTTATTTTATTTATTTGACAGAGAGACAGCGAGAGAGGAACACAAGTAGGGGGAGTGGGAGAGGGAGAAGCAGGCTTCCCACTGAGCAAGGAGCCCGATGCGGGGCTCGATCCCAGGACCCTGGGATCATGACCTGAGCTGAAGGCAGCTGCTTAACCAACTGAACCACCCAGGCACCCCATTATCATGGTGTCTTTTGCTGAATATGCTTAGGAGGTAAAAATTGTCCCAGGAACATGTAATAATGACATTTGCTTTTTTTAATTTTTTTTTAATATTTTATTTATTTATTTGAGAGAGAGAAAAAGGGAGCAAACAGAGGGAGGGGCAGAGGGAGAGGGAGAGGGAGAGAGAATCCCAAGCAGAATCTGCACCGAGCTTGGAGCCTGACAAGGGCTCCATCCCAGAACCCCAGGATCAGGATCTGAGCCAGGATCAGGATCTGAGCCAAAATCAAGAGTTGGATACTTAACTGACTGAGCCACCCAGGCGTCCCGACATTTGCTTTTTGTG